ATATACAACAACTTTTTTTTGGAAGATTTGCGTGCACTTGGCGCCTTTTCTTTACCTTTTTTTAAAAAGGTAATTTGTTGATTTTCAAATATACAACAACTTTTTTGTTAGGTAAAATACACAACAACTTTTTTGTAAGGTTATTAATTTACACTAAAAAACTCACTTTGTCTAAAATTTTTTTTTTCTTGAGTTTTTTGAGTAGTTAAAAATTTGTTTTTTAATTTTGGAGGGCGAACATCAACGTCATCATTATCATTTTCATCCTCATCGCTTGATAAAAATCGACGTGGCACTACTCTTTTTCTTTTCCGGTAAGTATCGGCCTCCTGATTATCTGTTTGTAAATCGGATGTCTCCTCTGATAATTTACATTTCTGCCGAGCTCTTTGTAAATCATCTAAAATAATTCAATTAATCAAATATATTACTATATAAATTTTCTTTTCATTTTAAATTTATTAAAAAATATAAAACATTATTGATATTTCTTTATTTCTATAATAATTAGTAAAGCTTTACTTTTATGCACTTACCAGTTTCAAATAAACATCTCTGTACTGGGTACAGTTTCCATGTTGCAGTATGTGCATGTACTACGCTTTCTAAAATTTTATTAAAAGTTTTTTGGTCTTTTACAGGTGGCCAAAAAACTTCTCGTTTTCTAGGAGTTAACCATGTGCTTCTTACAACTGCAACACTACCACCCCCATCATCAAATTCGATTAAAACATAAGACATGCTGTCACTCCTCGTATTAATTATAGGTACTATATAAAAGTATCGTGAAATCCTACAAGAAATCCACAAACTGTATAATGCAAGGAAATATATGACCGCATACAGCGAGAAATAACTCATTGAATAGACATCTAATCGACGTCAAAATCATCAAAATCACATCGAATTACATCGAATTACACGTATTTTCAATGATTTCTACGTCGATTAGATGCCAATTCAATAAGTTGCTTCTTGCTGGGCATTGTTAAATCCTCTAAGCTAATCTAATTTTTCTCACTTTAGTAACATACAAATATAATTTGTTAATTTTATTTTAAATTAGTTTCACATTAGCTTAAGTTATTATTTTACACGTATAAATTTTACAATAAAATTTATTTAAATTACTTACTTGTAAATTATATTCTTGAAAAGCTGCATGTGCTCGCACATATAACCTGATATAACCATCACGCAATCACGCTACACGTCGTGTAACAGCAAACGTACACCCGCCGAACTAGTAATGCGCATTGCGCATACCTCTGCGCAGATTCTTTTTAAGTGCATGTTTCACAACTTAAAGCTATCACACAATGGAAAAATAAAGAATAAGAAATAAGAAATAAGCGAGTCAATCAATCATGATTGATCAACTCGCTTTTATTTCTTGTTTCTTATTTCTTATTTCTTATTCCTTATTTAATTTTTCATTGTGCGCATGATGGCCTTTAAAAATATATTGCAATTAATTTTGTGAATTTTATTTTATAATTAATCTATAATTATACACCATTAAGAAGTAAAAATAATTATATTATAAATTTATTTGGACGACCTTAAGACGTTTTCAAAATGACGTCTTTAGCTGGTCTAAGAAATGACGTCTTATAAACGTCCATTATTAGTCGTCGACGTCATAGTCCAAAAATGACTAAAAATAGACGTCATTATGTCGTCTTCTGACGTCACCTTGCTACTTGGGGTGTTGTTCTAAAATCTGAAATTTTGATTGGTGGAACTTGGTCATGCGCATAGAGAAGAATAGTCATTGAGTAGGACAAAAAGATACTTCTGTCCTTTAGATCTTGCTCACAGCTCGTCACCCCGTATTCCTCTTCCATTTACTATAAGTTCTATGATTTTAACGAGCCGCTGAAACCGATCGTTTGAGCGACAAAAAGGATCACGTGACGACTTTTGTCGCTGAACTATACGGCATTAACTTTTGTACATGAAAAAGGGTAGAAGCGACAAAGTTGAAAGTGGAGAGCGGTTGTCATCGCGAGAGTTTGACAATTGTTGAGGTCCATGTTTGGATCGAAGTTTTTTTACAGCATTCTTGACATTCGATTCTTTCGACGACTGCTAATCATTAATACTTTAACACAGCGCTCGGAATTAGTTGCACATTTCGAGCCGATTTCCGAGACGACGCCTCCTGTTTTCCCACTACCGCCCGGCCGCTGGCGGCCGAGCCGCCGATAGCTCTGGCGCAGGAGCGTTTTATATAAGAAATAAACTGGGTTGTTAAGGTACCTCTCAGAAAATAGTAATATTTTCTTTGTTACATAAATAATGTTTATTTTCATTAATAATTAAATATATATATATTATGTAATAATAAAAATAAACATTATTTATGTAATGAAGAAAATGTTACGATTTCCTAAAGATGCCTAAACAATCCAGTCTATTTCTAATATAAAACGCTCCTGAGCCAGAGCTATCGGCGGCTCGAGCGCCAGCGGCCGGGCGGTAGTGGGGGAACAGGAGGCGTCGTCTCGGAAATCGGCCCGAAATGTGCAACTAATTCCGAGCGCTGCTTTAACACCTTCCTGTGCTAAACGTTTCGCTATGGAATGTATTTAAGAAATCATTTGCGTTTCTTTATGCGCAATTTCATGTCTAGAACAGATACGTAAGTGCGTCGATTTTACGTATCTCGTGTCTTCTTCGGAATGAAGGGCGAGAGAACATCTATTAATTAAAATATCTATTTATTCACACGTTATTCCCAAAAGTATTGTAGGGTTTTGACTCTTTTTAGGCGACTTTCTCTTTTTTGGAATCATTATGGCTTCCAGGAAAAAAAATATAATTGGATATTAAATTGTAATCGAATGATTTTAGAACGTGAAATCGAATCTCAAAATATCGTTTTTGCCGTTACTGTGATGCTGTTGACACGTCAAACACAAAAAAGACGTTATTCTAAAAAAGTTTTGGGTTGCACCATTATTTCAAAATCGTGATGAGCATGGATTTTATAAAGCTACTTTACCGTATATAAGGTTAGAAAGTGAAAGAATCTTGAATTATTTTCGCATGTCATCAACACAACTGGAGAACTTGTTACAAATTGTTGCACCGAAACTCAATAAGCAGACATTTCTCAGAGAGCCTGTCAGTGCTGAAGAACGTTTGTGTTTAACTCTAAGGTTTGTTTTATTAAATTTTTTAAATCTTGTACACAAAAATATTAAAGTGACACACTAGACAATACAAGATGATTATATAGATGGTTTAAAACTTATAACTTTATGTCTTTCACATTACATTTATAGATATTTGGCTTCTGGCGACTCAATGGTATCGATGTCATATCAATACTTATTAGGACGTACAACAATAAGCAACATTATATCCGAAACATGCGAAGTAATTTGGAATATGTTGTGTCCAGTTGTCCTTCCATCTTCTTTAACGAAAGAAGATTGGCTACATATTGCAGCAGATTTTGAAAATCGATGCAATTTTCCTCATTGCATTGGTGCCATCGATGGAAAACATATTGTTATTCAAGTATGTATTTCAATAGTATTATCATTCATTTATAGACATTTATACGCAATTATTATAATAATGTATTTTTCAGTGTCCTGCTAATGCTGGCTCTACATATTATAACTACAAACACAGCCACAGTATTGTTTTAATGGCAGTTTGTGATGCTAACTACCTATTCACATTTGTCGATATTGGAGCCTATGGTAGACGCAGCGACGGTGGCATTTTCAAAGAATGCCAGTTTGGTAAAAAATTTGAACAAAAAAAAATGAATGTACCAGATGCAGATGCAGTTTCTGAAAATAGTCCCATATTGCCATATTGCCTCGTTGGAGATGAAGCATTCCCTTTAAAAGAATATTTGCTTCGACCATATCCAGGAAGGGGCGGACTGACCAAAGAGAAAAATGTATTCAACTATCGGCTGAGCCGCACCAGGCGAATTGTTGAAAATACATTTGGTATTCTTGCCAGTCAGTGGCGAATACTGAGGAAGCCAATAATTGCTAAAGTAGAAAATGCAGAGAAAATTGTGCAAGCCATTGTGTGTTTGCACAATTGGTTACGAAAACAGTGAATATGTGACTACAAGTATGGTCGATCATTATGGTCATAATGGCTTTATACCTGGTACTTGGAGAATAGTTCTTGAAAGCAGTTCTGCCTATCGTGAAATATAACGAGCAGGATCATATATGAATACTGCGACAAGTATGGAAATGCGAGAAAAGTTTTGTACATATTTCAATAATGAAGGATCTGTACCATGGCAAAATAATTTTGCCTAAAAATGTATTGCCAAATATATAAAATATGTAACCTCGCATATATTTTTTATATATACATATATAAAGAATATATATTAATAATAATAATTGACATTGAAAAAGACGTTTACTTGTTATTTATATTATTTATTGTTATTTTACATAAAAATAAGAGAATATAGACTATAAAAGTAAGTATGGACTATATGTAACATGTTTAAATAGTATTACTATATATCACATATATATCACATGTATATTATTCACAAACATGAAAAACTTAAGAATTTTTTTTTTGTAATTCAAAATATTGAATTATTATGTAAACAAATACAATTTTGTTTATGTAATCTATTTATTCTAGCTGTGTTTTGTAGCTTGATTTTACCTACGAGGAATTGTAAAAGCGCAATTAAAGATTAGTTTGATATTCACTGAACTAAAGCAAGATAAACACACAAAATGAAATTCGTAGAGTGTTAAACACAATTTCTCAACTTTAATTTGCTTGTATTAGAAACGAAGAATTGAAATAAAATTTTAAAATAAAAAATTAAGCTAGGTAATAAAAATAAAAATAAAAATTAATAAAAATTAATCTCTCTAGGTTCTATTGACGATTATAATCGAACGGATTTCGATGATCATGTTTGCATGCAGTGAAAAACTTAATTCTCAGCCTCTTTAACGAGATTGTACGTCAAATCAAAGATTTTCTGTGCTGCATCATCCAACATGTTTGAGGGAAGTTTTCTTAATCTTTGTTCAACTACGGACACAACTGCGTCCACGGCATCGTCTTGCGGAGGATGAAGCAAAGCAGCCGGTGCTTGCAAATTTCTTTCACAAAAGGCATTAGCAATTCTGTCGAGTGTTGAATCAAGATTTTCTTTTTTATTTGTATTTTTTTGTTTCCTATTATATTCTGGAAAAATGTAGTATATTTAATATATAATATGTAATATTATATTTATATGTATATAATATTAGATAAAACATACTTTGCTGTCTATTTTGTTCCACATCTTCACAAGTAGTGGTAGTGGTAGTCGAGTCTTCATCGTCATCATCATCAATGTTGCATGACACATTTGATTTGGTTCTATTAACATGTTAATTTCCAATATTTAATAACCTTTTATGTACATTTATATACATTAATTCACATTGTTTTATTTGCGCATGTTTGTTTTCATTGTTTTTTTTTATATCGTTTTATATTGTTTTTTTATTGTTTTATATACATTTATTTTATTTATGTTTTTTTTATACAATTTATTTATTAATATACATTTAATTTAGTGATCACATTTTTTTTTATCGTACAATCCCACATAGAAATTGACATCCAGTGGATGTCCATCAAACCTCCAGAACTCCATAGGACGTCTATCTCCATGGTGGAAGTTAGATAGACGTCCATTAGAGATCCATCTCACCTTTAGAGCTCCATGGAATTCTATCTTCACATTGGAAGTCAGATAGACGTCCATTAGAAATCCATCCTACCTCCAGAGCTCCATGGGATTATATCTCCACGATGGAAGTCAGATAGATGTCCATTAGAGATCCATCCTACCTCCAGAGCTCCATGAGATTTTATCTCCATGATGGAAGTCGGTGAGATCTCCATTGAACATCCATCCTACCTCCAAAGCTCCATGGGATTCTATCTCCACGATGGAAGTCAGATAGATGTCCATTACAGATCCATCCTACCTCCAGAGCTCCATGAGATTTTATATCCATGATGGAAGTCAGAGAGATCTCCATTGAACATCCATCCTACCTCCAAAGCTCTATGGGATTCTATCTCCACGGTGGAAGTCGGATAGACATCCATTAGAGATCCATCCCACCTCTATTTTATAAATGCATTATAAACGTCTATTAAACAACTATTATCAATGTATAATAAATTTATACATAAAGTGTTTCTGATAGATTAATATTTCAGTTTTATTATTAATTCCAAATTTTCTGCTAATTTTGCGAGTACATTTCAACATTTATATTAAAATACATAATATTTTTATATTCATAATTTAATTTCTAAAACTGTACACCCACATAGAACAAAAACCTCCAATGGATGTACATTAGACGTCTGTCATGGAGATTCGGAACTTCCAGTGGACGTCCATTAGATATCTAGTGGACGGCCACTATACGTTCATAGTTCCGCTTTGCATACGTCTATTGGACCTCCATTAGACATAGATGTCCATAGATGTCCATTAGACGTTACGTGGATCATTAATAAAAGGTTAATGGAGCTTCGATGGATGACAAACTGACGTTACGTGGATCATTAATAGACTGGAAGAACCTTTCTCCTCTTCCGAATAAACAAATGACGATATGACAAAAGTGAAGCGGCGTCTCCTGCAGCAGCCCCTACCAGGTGCGTATATGTCTGTCTTTGCCCCGAACTTTATACTAACCCAGTGTGGCCTATGCTTAGAAATTTATTAAATTATTTTACACGCAGTGCTTATAAGCGGTAATACTGCATAGTATATTTTATTTAATTAATTGAATCGATTTTAAGTAATTTAATAAATTTCTAAGCACAGGCCACACTGGGCCAGTATAAAGTTCGGGGCAAAGCGACAGACATATACGCATCTGGTAGGGGCTGCTGCAGGAGACGCCGCTTCACTTTTGTCATATCGTCATTTGTTTATTCGGAAGAGGAGAAAGGTTCTTCCAGTCTATTCCCGCCTGTTGAGCGTATTAGATGCACAGTGATAAGTGACAAGAGTTATTAATAAGCGACGAGCGTTATTGCGAGCTATTGAACAACGAGGACTTCGTCTTTTGACCTTTTCGAGAAAGAAGAGGTGAGTAGAATTTTTAATTTTTATTCAATAGTTGTTATTCGAGAGTGTAGTACATATTTACGTAGAATAGAAAAATATTAGAATACATAGAATCAACCGTGTCGAAGTGAAAATTTCTGTCGCGTATTTCACAAAAGTACCATCGTTAATTAATCCCACGTAGCGCGTTTTATCTAAAGAACGTGCAACGCCCTTGGGACGGCGAGAAGAGAGCAACCCGTGTTCACAAGTCGATGATCAAATCGATATCGATTATGATTTTTCGGACCGTTTGATTTGATAATGACTAGATAATGACTAGATAATAATGAGATTCTTTATTGATATTCGAAAGAAAATCGACACTTTATCAATGATACATCGATGTACAATCAATAATAGATCAGCAAAATATTTCATCGATATCATATCGATATCATATCAATATCTAGTTGATATATAAATAATATCCAGTAGATATTCCTTTGTAGGTAGTAATATATAAACACAACTTAAAATTTAATTGCTGACACATGTTATTTATTATAATATAGAATATATATTCGTA